GGCCGTTGGGGCGGGGGCCGGGGGGGCTCGTGACAGAAACGCGGCCGCTCCTTCCTTCCAGCGCGTTTCGTGGTCCTCTGGAAGGAGGGCTCGCTTGGCTGGGAGGTGGCGGGAAGGATGCTGGAAGCATGTTTTACATGCTCGAAACCTGCGAGGGGTCTAAAAAAAATTACTGCCGTACTGTAATTTTTGCGTTACAAGGCTGTCTTACAGTGTTTTAAAGGCGTGCTCGTGGCTAGGATGCTGTGGGTTCCCGTTTAAACAGTGTCCCCGTGTTCTTTGTTACAGACTTGTCTGGAGTCACAATTATTTGGCCTTCATAGAACATAAAAGCACTGGTTAGGCTTGATTTTTTTTTCTTGTTTTTTTCCTCTTTTTTTTTTTTTGGATTAAAGGAGAATCTGAGTTTTCATATTCTTTCAAGTCATGGTATTGCTTCAGAGTTTATCCTGTTCTTTTAACAGGAAAAAGTGCACTGGAGCACATGAAACAAATCCTTCCTGGAATGAAGGAAACTAAAATTTTATTTGTTAAAATTAAAAGACTTTGTTTACTCTTTAAGAATGGAATAAGCCTTACGTTTTTTCATTTCCCCAAAAGAAAGGGTTGTGAGCTTTACTGGATGTAACTGGATGATGTGCATGTTGAACTATTTTTTTTTTTTTAAAGGAGTCTTCCATCTAAATTTCCTCATATTTTATTTACTGAAAGTTCATTTGATAGCAATGTTACCCGCTTGTTTCCTAGCAAAACATGAAATAATTCAATGTTGCTGTAAGCATAAAATAAGTAGATCAACTTTTTAAAAGCATTCTAGGTGGCTTTCATTGTGAGGAGTTTAAAAAGTGCATCATCTTTTTCTTCCTTTCAGGTTGGGTTTAAGCACTGTAGTAATGATTCTGATAGTCAAAACACTAATTTGCCTCCCTGGTCTACATTCAGTGTTGAACTGAACTTCAGCCCTTGTGCAACAGTCACTGTTGGAAAAACATCATAAAATCACTTGGACTAATGATAAAACATGGCCCAACTTTCTACCTAAAGTAGAACTATGTGTTGTAATTAATTGAAATGTGCCTTTGGTAGGTCTCCTGCAGAATCAAACAGAAAATCTGCCCTGACAGCGGATTGTTCTAATAAAGTTCTGGCTTCTTTCTGATCAATATTTCCCAATTAATTGGATGAAAATAAAGCTTTGAGTATGTGAACTAAGTTACCATACAAATTTTCCTTATCTTAGACTGCAGATAATTACACTATCGGATCTGGAATGTGACTACATTAACGCTAGATCTTGCTGCTCAAAACTCAATAAAGTAAATGATTCTTCTTTGCATTTAAGGTGGTGTAAAATAAAAAACAAGCAACAGAAAACATTCCTTCACCTCAGCATCACAGATAACAGGAGTATAATATGTATCTGAAGAGTCTGAATTGGCAATGTTTTCCCCAATCATTCGTCCTTTATTCCAGTCTGCCTTTCTTTTTCCTATCCCCGTCTTTCAGCAAGTTAGTCACAAAAGGCTGTTCTTCTAACCCTTGGTGCGCTGAGATAGGCTGCTAGTTTGAACTCATGGGACTGAGACTAACCCTTCATGGAGCTCTCTGGAGTTCTGTGCTTCCTTGTTCCTACACGTGGTTTACTGTGACAGAGAAAAGTACTGTTTTCACTGAATCTGCATGAAGCTGATCGTGTTCCTGCCTGGTTGTTCACTTTGATTTAAAAGTATTTTCTCTCCTAGTGTAAGAGAAATCACTGCGAGGTACTCTAAAGCCAAAAAATGTGTAGTTATCTAGGGGACTGACCCAATTTAGCTATGCCAGTTCACGTACCGATCGGTTTTCTTATGTGTTCCAAGCCTGAGGGGGTTTGTGTGTCCTGTATCTGCAGATTTCTGTTATCTACTTCTCACATTCCTAGATCTAATGCACTGTTTTCTGCAGTGATTTTGAGTGAGCATTGTATTACTTTCTTAACTTACTTGCTTTCTTAAATGCTTCCCTAATACAGTTGTGTTTAAACAGCTGTTGTGCTTCTCTCTGGGTGTGTTAAAATTCAATAAACTACCTCTGTTATAATATATTGGGGCCTGATTTCTGGCTTATTCATGTGGAATCTGGCTGAAAGTGTTAATTTCCACACATTGTGATAAAATCACATGCATGCTTCTCTGTTAATATTCTAGCTATTCTGGCTATGATATGATTAGAATGGGACAATAACTCCATATGTTTTTTTTTTTTTCAGAAAGGAATTTAGTTGTGTGGCTATAACTGTTTTTTTCTTCTTCTTTTTACAGTGGGTAGTCCCTGAGTTGATTGGCCATGCTATTGTAACGGTATTAATGCTTATTTCATTGCACTGGTTCATCTTTCTTCTTAATTTGCCAGTAGCAACATGGAATATATATAGGTAAGTGCAAAGAGGTTTGAGGTTTTTTTCATTCGCTGTAACTAGTTGTATAAAACCTTCCTCTCTGTTAGGTTTCTTATAATTTTAATGGAAAAAGAGTTTACGTTCTGAAGCTTTTGGCATTTCCTTGCGTTCTCTCTAATGCCTAAGGACCTTGGTTTGTGAATCATTCACAGGTCTGTAGGAAGTAACAGCATGTTAATTGGGATCATGAAGTAGTACTGCAAAAACTGTTGCCCAGATTTTTCACTCTTTGTCTAACAGCATGATAGAGATGCTGGCATAAAAGTACTTAGATCAGGATAGCTGATGGTTGTAAAGCCAGTGTCAGACTGGTGTTCTGCCCCTGGGCATCTGTTCGTTTACACTCCTGTTTTCCTCCCTCATTTGCATTGTCTAAATGAAGTTTTGGGTCACCCATCTTGCCTCTTTGTGTCTGGAAAGGTTTCCAGTCTTTTTAATGTTATGACAACTTTTGGTGTTACTGGTGTAAACTGTCTTTGTACGCTGGGCTGTCTACCACGTTGAAATGGCTTGCTTACTAGGGGTTTGTAGGTTGCAATGGGGAGAGTGTCAGTTCAAAAATGTTCATTTTATTTTCTATCATTTAGAAATATTAGCATCCTAGGGCAGAAACACGTATGCTTTATGTTACTTGATGTGCAGAGAATTAAACCCTACAGATATTGCTGTAATGAAACTGAATTTGGCAGATAACCTCAGCACCATATTACAGGAAGTCAAAAGACCAAATATTTAAGATTTAGGTGTAAAGAGTTGACTGCACTACTTGTTTCCAGGAACCTGCCAGGGCTATTTGCTGAGATGGAATGAGTTGTTCATTAAATGAAACAAGAGATTTCCTAGGTCTCATTAAGGAGAGGTGGAAGACCCTTTACTGATACTCCAGTTGTTTTTAGAAAAATATCATGCATTCATTGCTCTTGTTTTCTACAAAGCTGCTAGTAAAGCCTTCAGGTATTTCTCAGTTGGAGTAACATGAGAGAGCATTAATAGGTGAGCGTTGCCTAAATATGCACACAGAGATACTTGTGTTTGTATGGCCTTTTCCATACAATTTTATTTTTCATTGTTGCACAGAAGGATACTGTTCACTTTGGTATCTCTTGGCAAGTACAGAATTAACGTTTGGTGTTTCTTTCTGGTTAGATTGTGTCTACAAAGACACTGGAAACAGAATGCACTTTCCTTGAAGTTTTGAAAATTTCTACTAGTTTCCTCTTTGCGGCTTCCTTCTGCTTAATTATGTTAAAGTAGCCGGTTGCTTTCCACTTCAGTGGAGCAGAAAGAATTTTAAAGGATAATAAAATGATTCCTATTGCCATGTTTCAGGCAGTAAACTCTGAGTGATGTTTTGAAGTGACAGCTCTCGTTTTATATGATTTTAGTCATATATGGAGCATCCATTCCAAATATCCCCAGATCTAGGTTTGTTTTCTCAATTTTAGATGAGGAACGTATATAATAAATGAATATGATAATGTGATACTTTGCCTGTTCTGCCACAAGAGGTAAACATTTTAATCCCATGCTGCTAATCCTGCCTTCCTTCTGAGGATGAAGGAATTTCACACACATTAATAGCTTGAACTATCCCCTCTAGAGGGAAGGAGATAGAGGTCTGCAAAAGCAAGTGTGTGTTGTTTAGCATTAAAAAGGGAGTCAGATGTTTTGAGATAAAACTTAGATTTGACCCCAGCTATTTAATGGACAAAAGGTAGGGTCTACCGTAAGGTAGGTAGTTGGAATACACTGAAAAGAGGAGGAAGTGTCAATGAGTGAACTAGGATTAAGTGTGAACACATGGAGTGTGAACCTGTTATTACGAGCTCTAGTCTTACAGCCACAGGTAAGTGTGTTTGAATCTTCTTCATATGTTATAGTATCTCGGGAAGTAAGTGTTACTGCATGTGATTTTTTTAATGCCCCTGTGAAAGAAAGAAAAGCATAGGGGGCTTAACTTTTTGTCTCCTGCTGGTTGCTAGAAACCCTTCTCGTTTCTTGTTCCCTTTCTTCCCCTCCTATTATTAGTAAAGTGAATGTTGTAAAAGGTGGGGGAGTGCCTTTTGGAGTACAAGTGGTGCCACTCCTAAGTATGTAAAAAAAAAAAAAAAATCAAAAAACATCCTGTTCTGAGACCTTGCTTTTGCTCCAAGTATAAGACCAGGAGTTAATTTCTTGTGTAGAAAGAGCATTATTCTAGGAAGGTAGAACCTGTATGATATTCAAGTAGAATAATAATACTATTCCCGATTGAGCTCAGCTGGAGGACTGGAGCTGTTCTCTCAGCTGCACAACTTAAAGCGCTCACATTTTCTCTCTTGAGAAATGAGCATGTCAAACGAACACGCTGCTTGTTGGATTTTCAAAGTATATAAACATTTGTTTTGCTGGGCTTATTCTTCCTTTTGCTTACATTTCATTTTTTCCACTCAACTTCTGTTCTTCTGTCGGTTCAGAGAGCAAAGGAAAACTGCTTAACTTCTGCACTTTGTCTTCTCAGCCATAAGAAAGCTCAGTGCCTTTGCTGAAGTAACATAAGAAAGTAAAGATCCTTTGCCTTGCCTTTCCCTATCTCTTTTTGACCACTGGAGTTTGTGATTATCTGTAGGTTTGTTGTGGTTTTTTTGGTGAGGAAATCACTGATTCTTAGCTAAATTATATTTTCCCAGTCCCTTGCATCCATTGCATCTTGCCACTGTGGGTGGAGGTTTCTTCCATAACAGAGTAACAAAAGCAGCAATTAAACTGGTCTGGAATTCACTATTACCCAGAAAATTTTCCATGTATACATAGGAAGTTGGGCTAATGCTTTTAATACCTCCTGTCCTCTGATTTTTTTTTTTTTTTGTTTTGTTTGTCAATTGTAGTAGCAGAGATGCATGCAATATCCTGAGCCTGGGTGAGAAGAAGTAAAAAACCTTTTTTATATATTGAACTGTAAAACATGCAGTTAGAAAGTCCGTTCTGTGCAAACTCCTCCTGCCCTTCCCCCCTTATACTCACTGATGTTTTGATGACTGTACTTCTGTTTTTCTTAAACTTTCAGGTTCATTATGGTGCCAAGTGGAAACATGGGGGTATTTGATCCCACAGAGATCCATAACCGAGGACAACTGAAATCACACATGAAGGAAGCCATGATTAAACTAGGTTTTCATCTGCTCTGTTTCTTCATGTACCTTTACAGGTTAGTCTCACAAATTGCTGCCAGGGAACAAAGGAATCTATTTTTATCTCCTCTATTCTGCTAGTATAACTGCTGATATTCGTAAGTGTCTTACCTTCTTCCATCGTGCTAAGCCTCAAAAATATATTTTGACAGCCATCTGCAGGTTCATTATATGCTCTTATTCTTTCTGATCCAACGTTGTTTGGAAACTCAGATTACTTCCTATTCCCAAAACCAGTATAAGCACTATATATAGAGTTGCATGATTTCAACACCTAAAATAAGTGGCCTCTGTTTAGAATGGAAGTAGTCTTGAGGATGAAGTGTATTTTACAAGTTCTGTTTGAGAAAATGAAGTTGATCCGGCTAAGATACCACCTGATGAATGCTGTGATGGGGGTCACCTTCTGCAAGGTAGAAGATCAGTATACTGCTATATTACTTCTGCAATCTGTGCTTTTGTAAACAAAGCACATAACATAGTTGCCTTGACTTACTTTCCATTAGAGAATCAGGTGCGCTTCTCTCTTGAAAAACAGTAGCTGTTCCTACTTGCACATGCCTCAGTAATACACTGGTCTCATGTTTTCTGTTTTGTCACAGTATGATTCTGTCTTTGATAAATGATTGAGAAGTTGAAAAAGAACCATTAGCTGCCAAATTGGGTCATCACTCCAGTGACTGGTTGTGGAGCCACAGACACCTTCCGAACGTACCTAGACCGGTGTCGTCATGCAGTATATTTTTCCTCTTTGAACAAGAAATATTTTTCTGTATTTTTAACATAAAATATTTTCAAAAGACATTGGATTTGTGTAGCAGTTGTTTTTGTTCCTTTTACAACAACCTGAACTGTGGTTGCTGCTGCTTCTGTAAGGTGAAATCCATGCTTACATAGTTGGCCTGATAGGAAGGAGATGGTGACAGGAAAACCCATTTCAACAGCTTAGATTGATAATAGTGGTAGTTCTGGAAGAAATTTAAGGGCAGTTCTGATGTCTCTTTCTTACTGAAGTATGTCAGGATGTGCCTCTGGCTATCAGGCTGTTTGATTAGAGCCTAGTTTGAAGGAGCCTTTGGGACATGTGTTTCAAAAGGTGGAATGCTAACACAGCTTGCATCTTTACATGTCAGTGTTTTTCAGTTAAAAAGCACTGGAATAAAAGTTGTGCTTTCCTCCCGTCCACCCCATACAATCTATATGAAGTCTCATGTTTGGATGGATGAAGGTAAAAGTGACACTTTTGTGCAAGAGTGATATCTGTTGCTAAAAGTAAATGAAGGAGCATGAGTAAAACTTGTTTTTTCCCTTCCACTCCTATTTTATCATTGTACGGAGGTCTATGATGTGTTTCAAAGTAAAATACCACACTGCACTGGGGCTTGGAGACACTAATGGAGCAAAAGACCATTCAGTCACTTCTCCGTGAACTTGCTGTTCCCATGTGCAGTGAGGTGAATCAAGAACGTGTCTAACCAGGGGAGGTACTGTGGTAGACCATAACCCAGTTATTTCCACAATTCTAATGTGATTCTGCTTTGAAGACACCAAGAAACTAAGTTCTTTTTGTTGTAGCTCTTGCATCCATGATAAACCTGAGTCTGTGCCCTCACTATCCAACAATTGTTTTTAAATCTTACATATGTATACATAAGAACCTATAGATTCTTTTTTGAAACAAATGTCTGGTGAAACACTTCACAAATACTGATTTGTAATTAAGTCTTTAAACTTCCAAGCTTTTCCTTCTTAAGAACTTGTAACTCTGCAGCTGTAGGTAGATTGTATAGGTTTTAACGATGTTGTTCATGTGCAACAGAGATTGTTTTTGTGTCCAGCAGTGAAAAGGCGTAGAACAATTTCTCTGACTGACTCACATTTAATATTTGTTCTAGGATGAGTTTATCCTTAAATTTATGATGGGCACAGTCTGAATTTGGCTGTTGCAAAGATTAAAATCTACTGAAAATATGCTTAATAGAAAATAACTAGTGAAATAGCTACCACTGCTGCATGCCACTAGCTGCTTGACAGTGCACAGCACCAAAGGAGAATGCTAGCAAGCCATTTAAGTCCTGCCTGCAGTGCCAACAGTAGATCAGTTTCATTAAATGAAGTTGCACCATGGGAAACAAGACCATTAACTTCTATGTGTAATTACACTGCTTAGAACAGACTGGAAGTTTTATATCTTATTATGAAGATGTGATTTTGACATGAGAGCCTAATTAATATTGTATCTTAAATATTTTCATTGTCTTCAATAACTTCTAGCTACTGACTCTTCAGAATTATGCTGTGAGGATTAGATAGGATCAATGCATTCCATATTGGAATTGGTAGGATGTATCACTCATTTTGAAAAGCATCCATTCGCCTCTACTGAGAGAAGTGTTTCCACAGAGAAGGGGGCTGGACAGAGAAGAACAAGGAGGAAAAAACACATCAAAAAAAAGTCTTCAGTCACATCCTTGATCTAGAGGGATGTTACTGTGGATTCTTCCCACTTCCTCCCATAGGAACGTACTACTGACCACAATAAACCAACAAAAAACACAGAAATATATTCTAAACAGTGGCTGTCAAATATTAACCAAACTATACTTATATATGAATGCAAACTTCCCACCCTTTTGGGGGAGGAAGGGGAAGGAATATATTATCTGTTCATTCATCTCTAACAGCTTATTACAGTGGTTGTAACCACCTCAGCAGCAGGCTCCAAAGGCCACAATTCTGCAGGGTAATTACACTGGTAACTTTGAAGCCTTCTTTATTGTGTACAGGTCATTTCCGGTCTTAACAGAGATCTTTACACAACTCAGTGTCAGCAACAGGAAAAACATGCTAAAGTAATATACGTATTTGCTAAAAATGTAGTGCGTTAGCTGGGGAAAAAAAACCCAGTCCTATGCTCATCTCATGAGAGGACCACAGAGCACAAAATTGTCATAGTAGTTGAACAAAAAAAGCTTTCTGGCACTTCCATCAAGGGAGAACAGGCTAAATCCAAGCTTGCTATAGGCAAATCAAGAGAATGACAAACTTTAGACTGATCACAATAAAACTTCACCTAGCTTTATCGCTAGGAATCAGTGAGAGACCAAAGGCACAGATTCCCTCCTGTTCATGGACCAGAATGTATTTCCCTTTTGAGGAAGCATAACTGCATAACTTTATAACAGGGCCATTATTTTGTCCTTCAAATGATTAGCTATGATTTATAGAATGCTCCTAATCCATGGAAATAAATCTGAAGTTGACCTGTAGGGATTCCAACTTTCATGCAAGATTAGAAAAGCTGGTTGTTTTTTTCCTCACCTACCAGCTACAGCCTAGGTACTTGCTACTGTATCAGTTGTTCAGCAGTTTTCAGCCAGATTTTCAATCACTGTAACAGTACTGTAACTGGAAGAGGGCATATTTGGTAATTAAAATACGTAAGATAGTACATTTGCCCTCCAGTTCATCATTAGAGAGATGGACTGCTGTTTATTTATCCAGTTTTATCAAGGACTGCACTTACCTCCTCATCCTAGTAAGTGCTGTTTTATTCTAGAAGTAGTTCTATATTATGGAACCTAGTGGGATTAAAAGTAGGTCAGGTGGACCTAACACCAGTTTTACATGAAGGTTAACCCCCAATCTGACATCCTGATTAGCTCATAAGAGCAAATTGCTATCTGTTCAGCATTGCTGCAGCTTTATTCTAATTCTTTGCTTCACAAGAGGCTATCTAGGTTTTTCGCCAAACGCTAACAAAAGATTGTTTTTGCCATTAAGGATGTTACAGCAACAATGACATTGGAGATGGTAACAGAAAAATTGGGGCAGTACTGATCAGCATTCAGGTCATCATTAACCACCTTATTTTTGGCAGAAACCTTAGAAGCATACAAATTTCAGGAGAAGCTTAGGAAAGCATTGGAAGTACAACAGGATTATTCTTCAGAGCATTATAGGCCTTTTAAAGGGAGGCAACTGGGGCTGCTGTCTTTCAGTAAGGAGCGTATACCCTAAACACGTGCAACACATACAAAATAGCAGAGCTTGCCTAGAGGCCTAGAAGGCGTAAGCAAAGGCTTAAAGTGACAGAGTAAAACAGAAAATGTCACTCTGGAGAAGCACCCTACCTCAGGCAGAGCTTGGATTTAAGCTAATTATGAAATACTTAACCTAGAGTCAGGTTCTTTATGTAATCTCTTTTATATGATCTGAAGGGCTCAAATAGTTTGAAGTACCATGGTTCCAAAAGCTGGGTTGTAAGTAAACAACATTGGGAGAAGTTTATTAGAAATATTGCATGAAGGCGACTTCAGTAAATAAAGAATAAATAATAACAAAAATAAAAATCACAACTCATTTTTAAATCCTACATACACACAGAAATTTCACAGTTCTAAGAAATCATATACCCATTTCTCTTTCATGCCTCCCTATTCTCCCCAGTAAGAGGCAGACACAGGATGGCAGATGAAACGTAGTAACAAACTCATCCAAGAAACTTTCTTTCATCTGCTGTGTGGATAGTTTATGGCTGAATTAGGTCTGCACTCTAACAGATACTAGTACTCAAGGGAAGCAGCACATTCAGTATCTGGAAAGGGCTAAGGTGTGCCCATTATGTTTGCAGCTGGATTGAAGACATGATTATGTAAACACTGTCTAAACTGTAAGGAAGGGAACAAGGTGAAGAGGGAGCTACCAAAGAACTGTTCTAGTCAATAGAGAAGGTGAAAATTAAAAAAAAAAGTCAATAAAAGGTTTGAATTTGGAAAAGCTACAGGAAGAGGAGGAGCAGATTTAGGCAGTTTTATATTAAGTACAGCATTAGCTAGAGCTGAATAAAAATGCCTAAAATACAGGTACACGTGATGCAGAATTCAGGACAGAAAGAGGATGTTCTGTTTAAGGTAAGAGGAGAGGCAGAAGAACGCAGGGTTAGATGGAGGGAACAAAGGCAACAGTGGCGCTTCAGGAGCTGTCAGCCACAAAACCTGCTTAGGTCAACCCAAGGTGGAGATCAGAGGACTTCCCTGATCTTCAGTTACTGGTAGCTGGTAAAAGAAGCGTAAGCAAGAAATGGTAGTACTCTGGAGTACCTTCTTAATATGGAAAAGCAGCATTTTGTTTAAAAAAGAGAAAAAAAAAAGAACTTTCACCTAAAGCAACCTGTGGATGGTATTTAAACAAGCTAAACAGCACCTCAGTGAACAGCCAGCATAAGGCTTACACTGAGCCTCAAAGCAGTAGACTTGTGCTAAATAAGCACAGGATGGGGCACAAGCAAGTACAGTGCTCAGTGGCTTAAACGTCCAATGAAAACAGAAGCATGGCGTAGGTTAGAGCCAAATAGCAAGACCTGGAAAGTCTCTGCACAACATTCTCAGTGAATTCATCTTCAGCTAACTTGCCAAACAAATTTTCCCACTGAGGAAATAAACTACTACAAATATGGAAGAAATTCATAATCATCAAGAAATGAGCATCCAAGTGATTGTCATAGGTGAAGTTTAGGCAACTAAAAACTATTCATTCCAGTTATTCATTCTGTTTATTGAATTGAAAGAAAGGGAATACAAACATTTCTGTTAAGTGCTGTGCACCAACATGGAAAAAGTGTATTTTTTTAAAAATCCTAATAAAAACAAATCAGAAGTTAATGTAGTTCCAATTGAACAATTTTTAAAGATATGTTTAAAATACTACACATTTATAAAATAAAAAAGTTAAAACGGTGTTCTGTAAATAATTAGTAAAACAAGTGAAAATAAATACGAGACCCAAAGTTCTTATGTTTTTAATGTAATATAGCAAAGAAATTTTAACTACTTAATATAATCCGAGGAGAGTAACAAAAATCCAGAAAGTTTAAGAACGCAATCCTTTGAAACATTTAATATCAGTCCATAGCAAATAGTCATTACATACCAAAAGCTCTAAGTGTTAACTAGTTCCACCACAACTCCATATAAATCTTGACAATTTAGAAATCTTGAGATCAACAATAAAGTTCTTTTCTTGATCTCTACAGCTTGGTTTGTAAGTACATAGATGCTTTGAGGATCCATTTTGTCCCATATGTTTTCAAGGAGCCAATGACTTTTTCCATCTGTGCCTAAAAATGTTAAGATTCAAATCTAGCACATTACCCTAACAATGAAAAACGTTTAAGAAAAAGATGGGGCACAATGAATTTCAAATTTATAAAAATATACTGATATTAACCAAAAGCTTCAGGTCAAAGGACACTTCACATACACACGACTTAAAGTATGCAATAAAACATGACAAGTACCTAGAACGTTTTGGTTCTATGTCTGTTTATGTAACACACACACACACACGCACACACACACACATTCATACCAGATGGGAGGAACACTCTCACAGATGTTTTATTGAATCCAGATAATCTAGATTAATAGACAAAAAACTTGTCTACAGTTTATTTCAACAACTAGAGGCAGCTACTGCAGCAGTAGTTCAAAACTGCACACTTCAATTAAGTCCACCCTGTTTAAAAAAGTGTCAGAGTTAATGACATTTTTTCTAAACATCATTCAAAGTAGCAGTTTTCAAAATTAAGTATGGCAGCTGAAAATGGACTCAAGCCAATGTGGAAAAGAGAGGAGGAAGAGGTAAAAAGGAGATTTCCCCAGTTACGGGATGGATGTTCCCCTTAATAGTTGTCTCAAAAAAAAAAAAAAACCCCAAAAATAAACAGATACGTGTATTTTGGGGCTAAAGTCATGGACAAGCTATTGAAAGTGCATTTTTTTCCTCCTCCCCCTTAAGTTACAGTAGTTTGTCTGTTGGCCAGTAAATCCTGCTTCTTATATTCATTCTTCTTTCTCTACCTCCCTCCCCATTTGAGTCTACAGCGTCTCCCCTCACATTAGGGCTAATTGTATCAGAGTCCTGGTTTCCATGAAGAAATATCTTACTAAGGAAGTCTTGAAAATTGATTTGGGGTGGGAGCATCATTTGTCAGTGTAAGGAGATACAACTAAACACAAACTCCCAAGAGCAAATCGAGTTTTCTTAAATATTACCTGCTTGAAACCAAGTTGAGAAGTAACTGGCAAGACCTGGATACGTTTCTAGCTTGCATCTTTGCTCTGATCCTAAAAAGAAGTTAACTTTCAAGTCGGAGAACTTTAGAAAAGACAGAGGGAATTTGAAACAAGCGTCCTGTGTCCATCATGCCTCCCTGCCCTCTCCCCCGATGACACATCTGTCATCACTGCTCTTCCCTTTCGTGCTCCATTGTCCCTTGAAAATTACTTACCTGAACAGCTAAAGAACATTCAGATAAATAAAATGCTTCAGTGTAACTTGTTAGGAGATCTGCCTTGCCAATAACCTGTAGCTATTAGCTTACCAAAAAAAGCTAAAAAAGTACACACTTACAGTATTTTCCTCTCTAAAATCATAGGTCTGTTTACTAGAAATACAGTCATTTATTGCAGATGTGTACTTGTTCCAACCTTAGACTCCAGCCTATGAACATTTTTAAGCACATGGAAAGCAACATGTTGCAAATGAGCAAACTTTAATTTTTTCCCCCATAGTCTCATTTTAGTCCGTGCACAAAAAGTATTGGTACTTTTCAGTTCACACATTGTGAATAGCCAACATATTAAAAATAGTTTAGGTTCCTCTTTAATCTAGAGGTTAAAACGGTGGTAATCATCACCGGATCTATAAAGCAAGTTTACTGTGGGACCAAGTGCTGTGGCAAAGCGAAGAGTAGTCTCACCTTCCTCTCACTCTCTGCACATCACCTGTAAGAAGCAGGAATCTATGCAAAATGCTGCTGTTGAGACACTCTGGAAACAGTGCCATCTATCTGATTAAAGGAGCTCCCCTTTATATTGCATTGTTGTGCCACAAAACTAAACAGCAGCAGAGATATCACGACACGTGCTTCTCACAAACTCTGCTTCTAAATACCTGAAGCGTATTTCAGAGGTACGTATCAAGTCCAGAAGAGGAGCCCCGGAACAGAGGGGCAGTATTTTGGCAAAAGTATTAAGTTTAAACTTCTGGTTACAATGCACTGCAGTGGAAAGGAGGTATCCTCTAGAATATCCTCCCGCACAGCTTCTACCCGATAAAGAGTCTCACTTTGTTTTGTGTATGGCCACCACATTAAAGTGCCTGTTGAAGTGCATATTAGACTTTAAACCTAAGCTTGAGATTTGACCCAGCCTTCTCTACCTGCCTGAAGTTCCCTTTGAAGTCCCAAGAGTATACTGGGGTAACTCCCAAAGATTCACATACTAGCACTGCTTATGAACTGCACCACATTTTGAATATATAAAACAAGTGTTTACAATGTAGGTATTCAAAGTTTATTTCAAACCAAAAGGTTTAGCTTACTAGAATTTGACATTAGGAGAGCTGTCCTTTTCCCGGCAACGCCAATGCCACAGGACCAACACTAATCTTATGCTGTCAGAAGTGCTGCCAGCTAACAGGAGAAAAACAATTTCCTCTAAAGTCAGCTAGAATAAGGAACTGATTTGTAGTCTAAGTTTACACATGTATACCCAGTCCTGTGGGATGGTAGTTGCTATCTAAGAAATTCACCTTAATTTTAAGATGTTCAAGACAAATGAACTAGATTAAAGATAAGCATGTGACGCTCTTACTTCATTCTGGAAGTACCAGGACAGATAGGAGCATGTCAGGTTCAGGGCTGGTCTCAGCAAGAATATTGGAACCTTAAACCACGTTTAAGATTACGCACAAGGCAAGAAAAACCCCATCTGATGGCTGGGATCTAAAATCCAACCTGATCAGTTCCACTTTGTTTTTCTAAGCAAGAAAAAAGGGACCGTTTATGTTAAACGCCACATTCCCCTTCATCAAAGGGGCTACGCGTCTCTTCCCAGGAACTCCGGCAAACCTTCCCCCACCCTTCTTCCACACATCACTAACAAGGACACTAGATTTATTGTCTCGTTTAAGGATGCAGTCCACACTTTTCTTGATATCATTCTCTGTGACGTGCCTTTCCCTGCTCCCTCTTTACTTCACAGCAGCACCAACACAACTTTCTACTCAACGTGGGAAGAGGGAGTCCATAGTGAATTTGTGGGTAGTGCAGAAGCACAGGGATGCCAGGCCATCTGTTTGTTCTGAGAAGAATAAATACTTAAGTTATAAACGTCTTTCTCTTTTTAAACATGGGATATTAGTGGAACTGTTGCTAAATGTGTCAAGATGTTCCCAGCACCAACTTTCAGCAAGGTCTAGGAGAGACATTGAAATCTGTAAACATAAAATTACAGTCTCAAGAAGAAAACCTATACTTCTTTGTTTATCAAATAATAAAGTTTTCAATCATAATACAAGTGCTGAATTATGATTTGGATGTTTAACTACTTTAAAAAATGTGAACTCTTCCCTCCAAGTGGAGTCTACCTTTTACCAGCATTGTTGCTTATATTTATGTAATCTTAAAAAACAAAAACAAAAAACCTTGTCCTGTTTAAAATCTTAGTTTGGTGGTGCACTCTGAATGCTTTTGCTTCTAAATAGCGCATTTTTTCTGTTAAGATGAACAGTGAGTTTCGCCTTATAGAACAAGTTTCACTGCCTATCTAAAGCTCCTTCCAGCCACTGCTTTTGAATGGGTCTCATGACACTCTGAAAGAGCATCAGTGATACTGCATTTCATAACACTTCTTACGTTGTTTTAATTCCAAATGTATACAAATGAAGTCGTTTTAATCCTATAAATAATTTATTTTTAAAAAATTGTGCTGTTAACCCCTCTGCAGGGCAACGAGCTATGTGAAAAGTACAAAACTTTTTGTCAAATGTGATATTGAGAGTGCTTTTGACATAGTTCATTGGTTTATCATCTCAATTTATATATACTGCGCAACGGGCAAGGCTAGAATCCATGAACCAAGCTGCAAAGATCTCAAGCTAAGTAAGGCGGAGAGAGATTTGAGAAACAAGAGAAGGAAATACTTTCCTATCCAATGTATACTCTTCAGACTAAAGCACTCTTTCTATCAAGCCTTCTAAACTGTTAAATAAAGTGTTCCAAACAAGCATTTAAACTTCATTACACAGAAGAGCAACAAGAACAGTAGCCTGCCAGACAAAAAGGCAGGAGGGAAAAATATATATACTGAGTTCAATGGTTAGCCTGAATGTAGCACAGTTCTTCACAACCGATGGGGGGGGTAATTTCAACACGGTGTCCAACAACGTTCTAACGACGTGCTTCATCTTGACTGGTTACTATGAAGCAAGGTGGTAAATGTTTGGCCCCAATCGGGCTTCAGAAATGGTTCTTTTCATGACGAGCATGTCTGTCCAGCTATCAATCATGTTTGTTTGCACCAAATCCCAAGCCATTTAAAATACGACTAATTAAGTTAAACTGAAGTCGTCTGCTCCAAATTCGCCATCAACTATCCATGCTACTGCATTCCTCTGAGCAAAAACAAAAATACAAGAGAAAGACATCACATCTTGAAGAACTTACCAACAGTTAATAATTTCTATTATAAGGTCAATACGGTGCATTTACAGAAGTTTTACTGAACGTGCATTAGTTAATGCTGCTTATCTTTATAGCATAACTGAATCGCATGCTAAAAACAGCCTATTTTAGATACTACTATTCATATTCAAAGACTATTTTAGCATGATAGCTGTTGGTACGTAAAAGTTACCTCTTCCAAAAAGAGATCAACAAAGTAACACACAACTGCATTCAAGTTCCAGTGGGGCGCACTAACTACACAGCTGCCTGTCATCCCTTTAAGACTCCCGAATTGTTACGCATTACTCCATGCACCTAGGCCTCTGCCGTAGATAGGCTGCTACGAGAAATCCAGAATTCCTACTGTTTTGATTTTTATCGAGTTTCCAACTGATTTTCTGGAGGAACAAGGAAAAAGCAAGCAGGCATGTAACTGCGAAAAAAAAATAAAAAACAACTGAAAGGCAGGAGCTGAGTCCTTACAGCTGCTTTTGAAGTGGCTTTCTCTCTCTCGGACGTGGATGAGAGCTAATGCTTAGGAAACAATCCGTGGCATATCCGTTCGCACAGCTTTTAAAGTGCAAACACTTCAGTCTCCAGACTTTGGAGATTCCTTTTGTAAGCGCTGTGATACCATTATTCAATTTCCAGTGTGGTTGGAATACATTATTTACACTTTTAATAACATTGTATGTACTTAAAGCGTTAGCAGCAACATTTTTAAGACACCTACATAAATAAGTTAACATAATCCTGACGTTTTAGTGACACCGCGGTTTGCTATTAGGCCGTGTCAGAAATTTGAATATCGTTTTGGAAACACTAGTTCTCTTTTTATCCCACAAAGATAAATAACTCGGATAAAAATCCAGCAACTTATTTTTAAAGTAAAATTAATGATTCTACCCAAAGCTTAAAATCACATTTCTATTTTATTTATGGGGAAGAAAACCCACTGAACCAGCTGCCTTTGCTATACAGTTTTAGCGATTAGAAAAAATATATATATGCATACACATTTTTTTGTTTTATTTTACCTTCAATATCCTGGTTGTCTACGAAAGGCGCTGGTCCCCATATTCTAACAGTGCCATCGTCAGAGGCGCTGGCCATCATGGAGGGAATCTGCGGGTTCCAGCTCACACAGTTAACAGTACGTGTGTGCCCTGTCAGCTCCGCAATTGGCAGCTCACTACGCTTGTGCCAAATATATACTTTGTGATCTAAACAAAATACGCATTTTGAGAAACATAATGAGAAACAATGTTCGGAACAAACCACTTTGTCATGTCAAATCGCGCTTCCACACAACAAGCTCGCAGCAACTAAAATATCATTAATGTTGTAAATTCTAAACCCCACTTCTGTTGAATGTGCATCAGCACTAACAAATTTCCCCCCCCCCTTCCCCCCCCCAAAAGCGACCAAAATAATATGGGTGGGCAAAGCTCTTCCACTAATAGGCACATCCCTCTTAAGACTTGCAAGTCTACCGAGTCTGGCCTTTGAAGAAAAACATTTGACTACAATGCAAATAAGCCAATGCATGGCTAAAAAAACCCAAACTGGGCTACTCTAAAATTAAGTATATGGAATTATAACCTTATTCAAAAGGAAGGCTTGCAGAATTATAGCCTTTTAACAATCATATTTACACGCATTATAAAGCTATGTGTACTAAGAATAGTTTTGAACAACCATCTGTTGATGAGTAATAGATAAGGTCACAGCTCTGTAGTTAATGGAATTTGTTCTGGTACCAAAGACTTAAAAATATTCCAGTGAAAGTGCAAACTGAGAACTAGATGGGTGGTAACTAAGCCTAAAGCCTCAAATCCAGAGCTATTACTGACAGTCTTTGAAAGCAATTAATACTTGTGTGATAGTTAAAGATATGAATTCCTACATATTATAGAAGATGCAACGAACAGCCCTACAGGTCTTAGCTTGTGATAGGAAGCTTTTAATTATTTCTAGCAACATATGAGAACATATGAGAACAGCGACCCAGTCAAACATTCCACTGCAACTTTTACAAAAATGTTACTGCTTTATAACCAACTGTATTTAGGAATAACCGACTCTAAAGAATTTTTTCCCAACTGTAGATTAGCAGCCTTTAACAAATTTGTGAGTTGACCTCTCTAGGAATGTCTTTGGAGTCTTCCAAATGGAGCTAAATAGGCTGATCAAGTATGTATGACTACTTATATACAAGAGCCTAGTATTTAAGTCCTAGCAAATCAAAGCAAAGTATTTTAATCTATTTGAATGGGTTTAATGTAGAAGTCATTCTGAAGCCTTAACAGACAAAACAGCCTTCCCCTATCCCTCCTCCCAGTCCCTTACAAAACAAACTTGCTCTCTGACCTATCTGCTAGAACAGCATCATGGAATCATGTCATAACTCAATTGTCTTCTGCTGAATCAGCTCATTTGAGTAAAATACCTCTACAGTATTTGTATTGATGCAAATGTTCTGGCTGTGTTTACATTCCACTTACGATTTCAAGAGACTACATATCCACGCTATTCATCAAACAAGACAATTCACTCTCTGCTTAAACACTGGACACGCAAGCCTCTGCTGTCTGGGAGAATCAAAGCCTAAACACAAACCAGTATTTTGGTGCTTGTCAGAATGCGTGTATCACGTTTTAGAAAAAGCAAGTTAGCTAGATTAAGGCAGCAGTCAATTTCCCTCTCAGAAAGGCAGGCCTCCGTTTTCTTCCTATTGATGCAAGCGTCAAAAAGTCTATCTAGCTGACAACATACCTTCTTAAATGTAAGAAGCTATGACCATTTTATTTGTTACATTTTTGTACATAGAGAGACTTTCACAGCAACCACATTTGCAACGCAAAGAGGCAACAGCTTCAGGCAGTCCAAACCTAGATAAGGTGCCATCTGCTTCACCTGCAGCAGGGGTACTTTTAAAAAGACACCAAAAAAAAAAAAAAAAGCTGTTCTTAAGACAATGACCTGGATAAATTCATTACCACATTCATGTCAAACAAAATAGTAGGTCACAACTGAACTACCCACAAAGGGGAAAAATAAACAAATAAAGATTGGTGCACTGTAGTGTCCACACTCATATGCGTGCATCATCAGTATAGCTCAACACACAAATCCTGAACTTTCTGGTACTCAAGCCCCACACCAGGAATCTGGCTCAAAAGTGAAGAGGTTGACACTGGATTGAAGATGCTGTCCTTCAGTCATTGTCTTCCACAGGGTCTGGTCAGAGGGGGAAACTTGGTGTAATTTTAGATGCATCTGGATATTTTCCAAAAAAAGGATAATAATATTGTCCCTTTATCCGGGCCAACATTTTCTAACAGCTGTGAGTTACTTATTACAAACACTGATTACTTGTATCTTGAGTGCAACTCTTTGCGCTGCATAGGCTTGAATCTTAAGTGACCTCCATGGGAGGTGATGGCACTACGACAGTGACAGAACCGAACCAATTCAAGACACATAGCATTAACTAATTCCTACTCTTGCTACAGACAGTTGAATAAGAAACACCACACCACAAAGCCTTTCATCACCATGAAACCCTACTAGAAAGACTACGTCAACCAACAACTGCTTAATATGAGACTACTCCTTTCATAATTAAGCTGACAACTCTATTGAGATTACAATAATCTGGCCACACCTATCTTCAACAGGCAAATTAAGCTATTACTTACAAGAAAAAGTATTTTTGATTCAAACCATGAGCCTAAGTGTCATACCACAAAAAAAAAAAAAAAAAAAGACCCCTGGAACACCCGACTGACTTTTAATTAAAACAATGTACATGTTTTTTGCCTTAGAGGAGCAAGACAAAAGATTCATTAATGCTTTCTACTAGCACCATTCTCTCAAAAGATTTTTTCCTCCTAGCACATAGTTATTTTCTGAAGCGTGCAACAATCTCATTGCTCCTCAAACTGCTATTTAATGAACCAGTTGCTTGCTTTTAGAGATGACAGCTGCTGGCAAGAACATTATAAAAGTAGGTATAGGAAGCAAATGATGTGCTAGTTTTCTGCACAAAGGGGGATGATGTTACCTTCACTGCCACTCGCGATAAAGTCTTCATTATGACCTCCAAAACACGAGTGGATTGTATAAAATCCTTGTGTAACACCTTGATACTTTCTCACTAAAACTCTGTCTTGTAAGTCCCATAAGTGAACTCCCTGGGAATAAGAAGTATAGAGGATGTTATCATTAAACATTATCCATTGTGTTCTTGTTAAAAAAAAAAATTAAAAATGATCAAAGTACACTATTTCAGCCAACTTCAGTACTATTACTAGCTCAAGAGAGTAAAACTGAACAAATACTAAATTATTAGCTTAAAGCTCCATTCTGTAGTCCGTTCCGTTTCAAAAGCTCCTGTTCCTATGCAAGGTTAAAACACCACACCAAAAAAACAATCCCCGAAAGCTGCTGATCCTCAAAACAAATAAACAAAACTCCTCCCGCAGGTAAAGGCTGTGAGATATCAACATGCTTCAATCCTTGCTGTAACTGGCTTCCCAATATTATACTCAGATGCTAATATTTAACAGTAGTTTCATAGTATGAAACTCTTGATTACAAACCAACTTGAAAATCACTATTAGGAACAAGATCACCTTCTTGTCAGAGAACGTCTTACTATATATGTGAGCATTAAGGCCTTCCTATTACGTGAAATGCAACTGGTTAATATCATACGTCCCAAGCTCCACCAAAACATTGGAAAAGGGTTACTGGTTGTAAGCAGGTTTATTTGCACTTCCATTTAGCATCACCAACTCACCTGAGTTGCTACATTTAACAAAGCTAAACGGCCATTTTTTGAAATAGTAAACGACATAATAGGGTGATCTTCTTGTACTCTGAAATTACAAAATGCATCAGTGTTAAGAGTACACTTAACAAAACAATAATGCAACATCAACAGCAAAAAGGTATGCCCTGTTTCTGCAATATTATCAGGGAAAGACAGTTTTGAAGTTTAAACTGCACTTGAAATTAGGTATGTCCCTACTTCAATATAAGCTGGGTCTGCAACAGTTTGCTTACTTTACAATGAATCCCAAGACTGAAAAGGACTTTAGATCTGAAATTCAACTCCCAACTTCAAGGCAGATCTAAAACGTGTCAGGAATCGTGAGGTATAAAGAAGATTCTCAATAACCGAGATGTAGAAACAGACACAAGAAACCTACTCCAGTGCTTAGAAAGTTACTTCTAATACCTGACCTTATCCTTCTTGCTGCAATTCACACTCACTAATTCTTGTTCCGTATTATTCTCCTTTTAATACTGAGGGCACTGTAAGAACTTATTTCCCTTTCTGGCCCACAACCCCATCCTTAAGCATCATCTCATGATAAGAGCCAGGAATTCAAAACTGAACAAAAAGGTAGTTACATGTTCCTGTCTGTAAGATCCTCAAAATTATAACCCCGAATTCGCTGGTGTGTATCCGATGCTAGAACAGTTTTCCCATCACTCAAGCACCAAAGGCATTGTACTCTCACCCCTTCCCAGGAGTCAAGGAGATTACCATCTAAATCCTGATCAGAGAAAGAAAAAAAAGAAATTGAACTGTTAGTGCTGGATTTCTGATGAGTTCTGTGACAAATATATTTTTTTTGCCTTCTGTTCACACAGTTGCTAAAGAAAGTGATTTTAGCCTGCAACAGAGACAACTTAATAGATTAGGGCATGACTTGTGTTAACCCAGGGCTTTTGTAGGTACCTGTCCTGGAGAAATGAGAATCCATTTCTCCACCTTTTTTCCATGCCTGATAACGTGCAATCTACTTCAGGTCAGGGAACAGATCTTCAGCCTCACCTCTGTGGGGACTGAGCTTTGCATATTTTGTTATTATCCAGGGCACTGATTCAGATAACAAGTAACAAAGAGTATGGGCGAGATGAGTCTCGCCTGTGGACCACTATTCAAAACTAACACTGCTTGTGTAATGAGGCTTCCGTTCTGAATTTCCATTTACGCTAAGCAAAGACAGCATGCAAAAACTAAGAATGACATAGTCAAAATTCCGTGGAATATACAACATTTGTGGGCAAGGGTACTATTTTAATTAATGTATTTTCTAGGGGAGCTAGGAAAAAGGATTCCCAGCCCACAAATTCTCCTTTAGGCAGAGGAATCTCTCTATAAGAGTTGTTTGGGTCCTCCTAACTGTGACAGAGAAATAAAAGTGCTGTTGGAATACTAGCATTAAGGTACTGCTTCTTTTGAATTACAAAGGATCAGAAGGGTGTGCGTAAGTGTATAAATATATACATATATATATATATACACACACACACTCCAATTTGTGAAGATTAACTTAATTTTTAGGAAGTGCACGCACACATAGAGAGAGAAAGCCTTGACAAATATGAACCTCAGATTTGACTGTGACAAAACTTTCATTTCTAGCTTTGTTTTCAATGGGATAGATGAAGAAAACTTACACACTGATAGAACTGTCCACGCTGACCTCCTGTTACAAAGCGTTTCCCATCAGGATTCCAGGCCACACTTGTTAAGCTGTCTTCATGAGACTGGCTCATCTTTGTCCTCAGCTCCCCAGTCTGGAAAATAAACAAAGACAGCATGGCCTTATACCATCCAGCAGAACCCTTTCCGAAAAAGCATGGATAAGTTCACCTGATACACATGGTGTTTGCAGGTACATACATTTCATCACATTAATTAGAACTAAAAAAAAACCCATGAATCTATGAACACTATTGAAACGCTCAATGAAAATGTCACCTCCAGTGACCTCAGATTTAATTTAGGTTTTTTTTTTTTGGTGCCTCAGATTAGGAGAGACGAAGTAAGTAGCAGGTGTATTAGAAAACTCGAAGAAAATGATTTAAAAAAAGGAATTAAAAGAAGTTTGAGCAAAGTGCAAGAGGGAGATAAGCAACAAGAGATGAGAAAAATATGGACAAATGAGGAGGCAGGAGGAGACCAAAAGAACTACGGAGATGATAAAAACAGATTTTAGTAAAAAGGGGGAGCGTATCAGGTCTTTAGAACATTTTCCTCCCTGAGTTGAAGCTCTCCATGCCACAATTTAGCTTTCATCCCTAAATTATAATGCTACTGTTCCACAGAAAGACACAGAGAGCCAATAAACGGCTTACCACTGCCAAGACATTAAGGGCTTCTTTCCTCTCCCTTGTGCCAGCTCTGGTGCTCTTCACTGAGCCAATTTAATTAATTAAAACAGCAGAAAAGTATTCAAAGTATTCAAAGGGTGAAAAGAGAAAAACAATTTTGTTTTAGGAAGCTAAATTAGTTCAGAGTCCAAGACAGCATAAGAGAGACTACATAGCCAGCAACAGAGGCAGGGGAAGCCTTTATATCAACTCAGCTGCCCATAATAATCAACAGCAAAATAGGGTTTTCAAACTCACCGAGGAAATGGCCAAATTCTGTAGCGTTTGATTGAAAGAAAGTTCTGAAATTGTGAATTTAAGCCTCTGTGGACCTTCCTCTAGTATCACTGGGAGGGTTACACAAGGTAAAAAATAGCTTAACTTTTATTTTTGCTACTTGTTCAATTCTCCAGTGAGTGACTGCCCCCCTTGAGATAATACTTCTGCCCTTTGTTTTTCTTGATTAGTTTCTGCTGTTATTCTCTTCAGTAGCTCTCTAATGTCCTATGGATTTAATCCATCCCTTCTCAAAAACAACCAGTAACCAGATAAACTAATGTTATGAGTACAGAATTTGTAGACTGTTGCAGTTTGCTTTTGTTTCTCAAAACAGGGAGAAAGATCAGTCGCTTCTTTACATTCACACCTTTGTACAGCAAGCTTGCCAAAGTGACTGCCTTTATGGTTACATATTTAAATATTTAAACAAAATGAGAAGGCTGATGAGGAAGTTTTATTTTTACTCTTGGGCACCACTTACTTGCACATTCCAGAGCCAAAGCTCAGAACAATCATCTGGGCCACAGGCAACAAGATAGTTGTCATCTGGACTCCAAGCAATGTAAGAGACCCCATACGCATGACCTTCTAACGTCTTAAGCAGTTTTAGCTGATGAGTATCCTGAAACGAGAGAGGTTCTGTTAAGACCACGCAAATGAACTCCTGTGAGATTTCACGTGCACAGTACGCCCAAGTACAGCATAGGAAGTCCACACTGTGCAACCTGGCACCTCTTTTTTTTTTTTTTTTTTAAATATAAGAAGTGACATAGGTTGGTACTTACTCGAAAAGCGATTGCTAGTTTACAGAACAGAACCATAAAAATAAAAGCAAAGCATGCAAAACAAAAGTAGTTCTAAGTATCTTGTTCTAATCTTCCATAATTCTGAACGTGGAGCTCACAAAATGATGTCGGGCACATAGTTTATACGTTACGTGACATTTGATACTATAGGAATCTTGCATGCTAGAACAAGTCTCTACAGCTGCTGGAGTAGAAAAGTACAATTATCCCTAGTTCACAGAACAAAGTTATTTCCTTAAAAGTACAGCTAGAAACCTTAAAAGTTATGCTAGAAACCTGCTATGGTTAAGTAGCAGAGCTAATAACTAAAACCTTCATGAAGGCTGAGAAGGAAAAACCTTCAGCTGCTGTTTTTATAAACTGAAGGTATCTTGTGGGTGTGTGTGCTGGTCAAGCAAGGGGTTTTACAGAAAAATATTTAGAGCTTGATCGGTGTTCTTATTTCAGAAGCACTGCCTACAGCAAGCTGTCCACCTCTTCTGCTAGATTTAGTGGATGAAGAGATGCAAGCATACTGTGTTCAGAGAGTATCTCGTTACCACGTTTGTGCCGCAACTATTCTACTGATGCCTTGTCTAAGGAACTTGTTTTTCAAGCAGCTTGTCATCAGAGTAAGTGGTGCCAGCTAGCCCTGGTGAAACAACCGTATACCAGTTTTCCAAGTACGGAACACACTTCCATACAGTATTAGCACTGACTCCTTCTTCAACAACAGCATGCATATATAGAAAATATAACGGAGCCTGCTAAACCTTTTACAATTTTTGTGAAACCTCTTGAAAGAGGGCAAGTGGATTTTTTTTTTTTCTTCCCCCTTTTCTCCTTGCCGGGGGGAGGGTGGTGGTGGTGGTGTACCACCTGCTGCTTTTGAAGAGTGACTCATTCGAAAATCTAGCTCAATTTCTCAAGTAGTCTTTTTTGTTTTGTTTTAGCGCTAACCAGCGGAGCGCCTCTTAATTTGGGATTCTAAAGAGAAAGAACGTTGTTGATAGACAGGAAGAGTGACAGGAAGGACTGTTTTGGAGGGAGTCAGCTGCAAAGGATTTGGTAATTCTCAGCCTGCAGCACGGATGGTTCTGTTGGCCAGAGAAACTAGTTTCCTCAGAAGAATCTTCAAACAATCTTCAATGCACACAGAAAAATGGACAAGCGAATAGACCTCTTCAGGCTCTTTTCTCCATTCTACATATTCTTCCCAGTCTGCATTAGACACGGCCATTTGTCTCTAGCTGAACTGGTCTGCACAGAAACCGAATCATGCTGACATCATCTCACATCCCGAAGCTTGCCCATGACTGCTGCATTTCTCTGCAGGTCAGGATTAACTGAAGTAGCCTGTCACTTCTCTTGCACCTCATCTGAGACTCAGGAGGAGTAATATTCTATGCCTCTTACTCTTCATGGCAGTTACTACCCTTAGAAAGTCCTCTCTCAAGCTGCTCTCATACTTTTCTCCAGATACAGAATAATTGCAATGCCATGTTATGTTAGATTATTAGGGAGAGGTGGGTCTGGGGGGGGGGGAGAGGGAGGGTGAAGAGCCCCCCAAACACTCAATTTACTTCCCAGCCCCCACCAAAAGAAATCTCAGAACTCCTCTCTTATATACAGCTTCCCGGGTTTTTGACATATAGAAGAAACTAGATCAGCTATTCAGGAATCAACTTTGATCTGCCAGTAGTTTATCTCCTTGGCCAAGAAGCCAAAGGAAAAAAAAAAAGAAAAGAAAAGAAAAACACCCCCACAACTGTCCCTAGTTCTTAGAAAGGGCAGCAAGAAAGAAAGGTTCCTGGAAGGAACAAATTAAAGGAGAGCTCTGCCACAGAGGATGCATGACAGACAAGGGGATCAATGTACTGTGCCTACCCTTTGTGCTCTAGAGTTACTAGTGCTCAAATAATGCCTTCCACATACAAACCTAGTTCAGCCAAGATATTATTTAATGCTGCTGAATCTGCATGAGACCATGAAATGAACAAAAGAAAATGAAAACAGAAGCACAGGTTACAGACAATCCAGTAGACATTAGATGGGTCTTAAAAAACAAAAAACATGGTATGAAATAAAGAATCAGGAAGAAAATAACATATGGAAATAATGTCATTACACATGGGGAGGGATGAGAGAAAGAAAGGAAGAAGTGAGGAATTCTCATACAGGAAGTATTATGGCGTGTGCAAAGAGAACACCATTCATCTAAAACCGTGTCCTGCCCATTACCAGCTCAGGCAGAGTTTGCAGGATGTTTCCCTATAGCTTATATACACAAATTAGAATAATGCTAAAAATCTAAAGTCTTGAAAACCTGATAAAATTTATGGTTCAAAAGATAGTCAACAACTACTACAGGAAGTGAGAAAAACATGTTCTGGCAAGTATGAAAATGAACAATGAGTTATGTGGCCTAATAGCATTTAGAAGACTACCTCCTCGAAAGGGTTCGGCTTTATCTGAAAGTATTCAAAAATAGAAAATAAAACTCTCTCCATAGCTTTCCTACCAACTACTTATTAGAGATATCGTTCTTTTAGCAATCCATGGCCAAAAGTGTTAAATAATCTGAAACACTCACAAAACATCTATTTTGGTTTGATTAACTAGATGTTAGCTACCAATTCACTATAAGACTTGCTAATTGAGATGCTGGGTATTAAAAACCATCAATATAAAGGAAGGTGTGCCTCTGCTATCAAGCGACAAGCCATCTTAGGAAGGACAGCAAAAATATTTGATCCTAATTCACTAAGATGTTCTCTGTTTATTAACAAAAGGCAGATCATTTCCTAAATAAACTACAAGTGTCAGATTATGCTGTTGGTTCATCTCTTGACCCAGAACATGCTACCTCCAGCAGAAAAACAAATCACAACAGCACCACGCCTGAAGAATTTGTAGCACTTGTTGCTTGTTTTCAAGAGCTATGTAACAACTATGCACATGGAAATCGGTTTCAAGTTCTCCCATCTTTTTTCTTAATAGCAAAGGGACTCAAATTATATAGCTTCCTAACCTGTAGTGGGAGAAAAGGATCAGCTTCAGCTCTCAAATTCTAAAGAAAACCATTATGGGACTGCAAACACCTTTCATCTCCCATGTATCACACCAGCTTGCAGATGTGTGGTTAAAAACTAAGAATTTTATTTCCGAAAATGTTTCACAAGCATCGACAACTTCAGAAATTGTGTGCATATGCTCAGGTTTATTAGCCATTTTCAGTTGTTATGGAACATGGACATACTTTCACCCATTTCTAGCAGAGTCAATTAAAACAATCTTAGATTCACTGCTTAAACTCTTTATTTACATAGTAATATATACAGGTAGGAAAGATATCCTACAGCTACAACAAGATTTATATTTCATATAAGAGGAAGAGTGCCAATGTTAGTATCAAAAATTAAAAATGCAGTCTGTAAGAAAAGGACTGGATAATCTTTGATGTGCCAGTAGATTGACAGGTGCTTAAATCTTCACCTGAAGCAAAGGGAAATCATACAGTGGCAACTAGCATAAAGTGGAAGACTAATGCAGCTTTAGTTCAGCACATACCATTTTATTACTCATAATGTGACAAACGGTGAAATGGATTAGAGTATTTAAACCCAAGTATATTAGTAGTAACAAGATATTAAAAAAACATGTGAAAAAGGTTAGTCGTGTACACACACCAGAAGTATCTTATTAAACAGTGATTTAGGAGAAAGTACTAAAGAATAAAAGGCCATTTCTGCTCACTGCCACACTCCTCGCTCCACTCTCACCCAGTGCTTCCTCCTGAAGGCCTTCAGGCCAGGAAGCTCCCCTGAAGGGCTCCAGCAGGCTCTACCCAGTGGTGCTAGTCAGAAGCACAGGGAATTCCTGCCTCAAAGCAGCCAACAGTTCAGGCACTAGAACTCCTCTTACATTCAGGCATCTGGTTTTCAATCGTCTTCCTTAGCTAACTTGCACCAAACTGATCTTCCATCTTTCACATCCTAGAGAAATACCCTAGCTGGGCTACAGAAAGTATTAGACTGTCCTACAAAGGAAAAATATAGGCCATCCCAGGGAGAGAAAGTAGTGAGGGAAAGACAAGTCATACACATTTTAACATATGTTGCACACTTACTGGATCAACCTGCCATATAATAACAGTTGTGTCCTTAGATCCCGTTGCTAGTTTAGTGCCATCATTGGAGAATTTACAGAACCAAACTTCATTACAGTGCTCCGTAAGTATCTGCTGTGTGTAGCACGGGAACTGTTTCCTGGCGAAAAGAAAAGGATGCATTAAACAGCTTAAGAAAGCAGTTAAGATCTAGTTGTTACTGCTAGATAAATAACTAGATAAAAAAAGTATTTAGATTCAAGACTAGACAAATTAGAAAAATGCTAAATTAACAGCTGCTTCAAATAAGTACAGGATGAAGTTTCTTATGTGGTAAAAAGGTCAGGCTGCCAAGTGATTGTAAATGATTGTAAGAGCTCAGACCTATTCTGACCCTCCTCACATAATTCATTATGCTTTCATGTAGGTTGGAATAAAACTGACCTTCTTAGGACAGTAACAGCTTATTCCTATATACTTCTGTGATGTACATAAAGTACTGCAGTCCCAACCTCATTGAGTCCTACAAGGAAATTTTTAGTGCATTACTTTGGAAATTATTGCAAATATCTAACTTAGCTATGTTTTGCCAGATCTGAAGAAATGATTCTTAGGCAAGAGCTGAATAAAAGAATACTCTTATTTTTCTTGATTGTGATCTTGCAATAAGTTAGGGATTTTTTGCCTTCATTTTTCCTTTCTTTGCAGGGCACCACATACAGCATCTAAGCCTAACTAACAAGATATCATTGTGAGCTCTCAACCTGAAATTGTTTTCCCTGCACAAAATCCACAGTATTCTGTAAAACATGTAACAGTTATCAAATGAAATATTATATGATACATTAAACTATTGAAAGAGAAGAGTCAAACATTTCCCTATAGCTAATATTTAATCTTCCAGTTACATACCGGGGGGGGGGGGGGGAAGAAGTAAATCTTCCAGTTACACACCAAGGAAAAGCTAACAGTCAAAATACGTTCAGGTAAAAACTGGAGAGAAGTTTTATTTTACTTACGAGTTGTCCATTGTACAAGAATTTGAAAGCTAATCTAAAATAAACATAGGCTTTTAGAACAGACGACTGCTTTTATAACCAATACTGCCGGCAGTTACTACAGGTTTATTGTTCAGATACACTAAAAGGCACTGCCTAACTGTTCACGTTTTTCCCTAACAGTAAGGATCCTGGAGGGCGTTGGTCTTACGCTGAGTTTTTATGGTGCCCAGCGCAGCAGGGCAGAACAAGCCTGTGACGGGATGCAAAGGTACTACTCTAACATTGTGCTTAACACTGGAGATACATTGGCCTAAAACCACATACCTTCATTTTAAAACACAGTGTGGATGTACCAGGCTTACAGACACCAGGAAAATTACTTCCTACCAGAAAAAGGTCTGCTTAATACGTTGACTATGTCCTCTCACTACATTTTCTTCTACTAGAAGACGCTTACTAGTTCCATGCTTAAAGAGCATTGAGGCAACACTAAACTACACCACGTCTTGCACTCTGTCTTATGATAGAGGAAGATAAACAAAGCACACACACGTCTGGGCTTGGCTTCCTTAGGTATGTCTGCTTTCTCTTTTATACAGAAATACAAGCTCGTTCTGCTCCTGCTTGAAGCTGACCAGGAGCTGTCTAGATGCCACTGCAACGACACCGAGCCAAAGCTAAAAAGCTGCACCCATGATAGGGACCGTATTTTCTTGGGGCCTAGAATGGTGCAGGCAAACTCTCAAACAGAGCTGCGCTCCTAGAGGAAGAGCATTTCATTATTATTTGGCTATATTCCAGTAAGTTAATGTTTTTCTTCAGAGTTGCAGCCGCTTCTAGAAGGTGAAAGAGTCTTTATCCCTAAATCATACAAGGTACAGGGGGCACATAGTGCCAAGGAAAGCCTTTGAGTTTTAAAAAAAAAAAAAAAAAAAGGAGCAGTAACTTTCACATTTTAAAGCAAAAAAAAAAAGCAAAGTTTTAAACCTAAAAAGCAGTATAATGCTGGAGCAGTTTTCACAGTACCGTGGTCTTTACATCCCTAAAAAGGGTAACAGGGACAGTTGATATAGTTGCTGCAGACACATCCCAATCCAGTCTGATCAGAGCTCTCTCACACCAAGTTCTCTTCACTTAACTAATGAAGCATACGAACTAGTAAACCTGACTTTACAGATAGCGAAGCATATACTAAGTAACCCTTTCCCAGATTAAACTAGCAGCAGTCTCAAAACAAGAAACTGAACATAGTTGTTTAATAGTTTCCATTTTAGATGATTAGGTATTACTGTTGCTCAGAGGTTTTACATTTCTGAAGTGTTTCATTACAAATTCTTCTGTTCAGCATAATAAACTTAAATCATGCTGTTCACATACTGAAAAAGAGTTTGTAAGAGTCATCTGTTACTGTATTTACAGAAATTCAAAATTGTAAATTTAATTCCAAAGCTACTTCACTATTCCCAGTGGATACAATGAGAACAATGAAAGATTTAACCCTCAACTTTTATAACAGTTCTTTTTCCAAAATGCTACATTAGCCCAGGACCTGGAAAGCAGGGGCATTCACCTCTTACTTGGGCTTCAATGTCTGTTTCTAAACATAGACTGAAGTGCATTTTCATGAAAGAAAGAGGACAGAATTTGGCAAAAAAGACTAGCCTTAAAGCTCTCAAGGCAAAAAATTAAAAAAAAAATTAAATAATCACCCTCCTCTTTTCTCTACTATCACAATCTCAGATAGAATAAGGTAGAAAAAGCGTCACCTTCACTGTCAGCAGTTGCTCCCTCCTACCTCCCACCTTTACCAAGCAATTAATTCTTAGTTCAACATTTTACCCATTAGTGCAATTCAAGCATGCTTGAGCAAAATACTGCCAGAAGTTCAATACAGATTAGTCCCAACTCAAAAACGTGAAAGCTGTCAGTGTTCTATCATTTAAACATTACAGAACTTACATTGTCAAAACTATTAGACTGCTGTTACTTCTGTCAGTTTAATCAAAATTTGGCTTCCACTGTCTTTAACTCACCTCATCATGCCCAAGCATTGCAGCACGTACAGCGCACCACATACTGATCTCAGATCCCTGCAATAGGTAGGTACAATAGGTTGAGTTGAGGACAGAATGGAAGCCTTTGTTTTGAACTGTGTTTTTTTTGGGGGGGCGGGGGGGGATTACAGTAATGAGTATGTATGTATACATACCAAATGTGCTAGCCTAGGAAGTATCATATTAGGTGAAAAACACCTTGGCCAAACTTTTGTCAGCAAGTAGATTCAGATGAGTGAAATTCAAGGCCAAATTTGTTGTGTATAGTATCTTTTATATCCAGTTCTGACCATCTAGTTTGTCTTCAGTAAAACATGTTTTTCACAGTTGGTTTGAATGCTCTTCAGGGTTTGATTAATCACAACCCAGCTACAGAACATCAAATGTTATTTATGTACTTGCAGAAAGACTAAAATTAAATCACTACTTGAAGTTAGTCTAATTTTAAGAATCACTTCTGAAACAGGAAAGCCACAATTCCTATATCTCATCATCTCCAATAGCTCTTAAAATTGGGCAGTCATTCACATGTCCACACACACACACACTATGACAATAACGTGAATCAGATGTAGCAAAACTGCAAGCTAGATTATCATCTATTGTCTAAGAAGTTACTCAAATACATAAAGTGTCAAAGATACTAATTTTAAGAACTTAAAGATGACTAAAATGAAGTACTATGGAAGTCTGCCTTCAAAAAACAGATTCCAAGTAATAGAGGAGAATAGAAGTGAAAGCAGCTGGAGTTCAGAAAGTTTCTAAAAGCAAGTTTATCAGACAGGAGATGGAGTATTTAACTTCCTCAGATGAAGTAACTTTAACTTAAAAAAAGCTCTCCTGTAAGACCAAGCAAGCGTTAACTTGCTACACCAAAAACCATGTAAGCATATATCTGGCCCTTATTTTCTAGGTGTCTTAGTGTCCTGCAGCTTATAGCCTTCATTCCCCAATTACATGCACAGCCACAAAAGCTACACTGGGTACACTGAGGTTTTAGGTCCTCAGCTGAGTTTTCGCTGGCTGAAGAAAACCACTCAAGCCAGCCATTTGTAAGAAACAAAGCCTTCCTGCCTGATCTCTATTGGAGTATGGCATTTTAAAGGTTGAGAAGCAGCACGGGGGTTTCTTTTTTGTTTGTTTGCTTTTGTTTTAACATTATCCAAATAGCCTTAAGAACTAATACACATGTAAAAACGTTCAATGCTTATACCCTTACAAATTTGAGAAAATACTGCTTTATATCAGTCATATTATACATTAGATAGAACAGAGTAGAAACATTCAGCAAACATTTCCGTTCTAGTTCGTATCTAAAAAGGCACCACTTAAGAACTGAAGATGAAAGATGACACCATGAAGGAGGCTTTAGTAGGCTTTGCACAACCTACTGAGCTTGAAAACAGTCCGGGTAAGTAACATACTAGCAATTTTCCAGTTACAATACAGCAATCAGGTATTGATAAATAGGCTATCTGCCTAAAGTTAAAAGCAACAAGTGCTTTGCATATTGCTTAGCATAGCAATATATTCTAGTCATACCTACCTGATTAAAATTTTAAAGCCTCAGTCTGGCCCTGTTATCCCATAGCCAGTTATCAAATTCTTCTATATACATATGCTCTACTCCTCCCTGCCACAGTCGTTTAATAAAAACTGGCTTTTCCCAGTCAACCCCCACTAAACCAAACCAGAATAGTATTCATGTTCCTTTAAACATTAGGTGCAATTAGATTATTTTTAAAAGACAAAAAAAGATATTTGTGCCCATCTTAAAAGTAGCAAGGGTTTCTTACCTACTACAAACATGGTCTATAAGCAGCGAGACAGAATCTAGATTATTATCTAGTTTGGTATTATGATATAGGCACCGGTCCCGTTGTAGCTCCACAGCCTGACGCAGCAGATTCTGTAGACGCCTGGGAGGAAGCATCACTGATGGGGGTAGGTACGCTTTAAAAAGAGTTATTAAAAAAAAAAAAAATCAAAACCAAGTTACAAGTAAGAGCATATTTTGATCTGAGTGTTTTTAGAAGAGACTTCAGTAAACAAAACTTTAACACTACAGGAAAAAGAGTGCACATAGCTTGTGAAGTTTATAGCTACATATCTGAAACCAGAAGAATGGACTTTTGGAAAGCAGAGCTGTACACAGAATGTTTGTAGTTATAGTATGTTGTCCTGACCAACAAGCATCATTTACATGACCTCAATCAAAACATGTTTAAGGAAAAAAAAAAAAATCTATAAAACTATGAAATACAACATCAGTTGTGTTCATTTGAGGGATTCTCAGTTAACAGCAATACCACCAAATGCAGAATACTCTGCATAAGGGTTGTAAAATCCATATTACACCAGCCACAAGGAACTGAGAGGAGAAACCATAAACCCTAGTACAGTCTTAGACCAGCATCAACTAGTACTACTACCAGAGTGGTTATAAGACACTTAGTTTTGACATATGCAGCACAGCTGCATAAAAAGGAAGAAAAAAAAAACCTTTACATTTAATCACCAGGTTATACTATTTCCGTATACGACAGAGCTAAGAAGCAAGAGCTGCTATTACAAACAGACTACTAGAGACAACATAAGATACAGAAGACCAAAGTGTTAAAGGCACCTACACTCATCCCTACTAACCAAGAACTACAGAGACATCAACAGGCAAACGCAATTAAAATCAATTCCCGGGGATACGCAATTACGTAAGACGTACTGGATCTACAAAGATGGGAATAAGTTCTAAACACTAGAACTTCTTACTCTGGAGTTTGTCCAAAAGCTTAGATCTGGAAGCTGTTCCTTTCCCTTCCCACTCTGCTTTTGCACGCAAGTCTTCTGCATGGCTACACATCAGATACCTGTTTAAAAGAAAAAAGAAGGAAAAAGGGGAGAGAGCACACACGCTAACAGTCCAAGTCTTTCTAGAATGAGTTTTTCCACTTTTAAGCATGATATATAGTGTAACATTCTTATTTCCGGTTCAAAATATTTTGAAATTAATTGACTTGAAGAGAGACTGATAGGAACAAAAGCAGGAACTATGCCACACAGCCACGCATCTTTTTTGGAACCGATGTCTACAAATTGCCAATAAGAAAGCAAAAAAAAAAAAAACACCCACACACACAGATTTTAGGAAAGATGAAACCAAAGAACAGACTAAATTATATTTACGTACTTAAGTATACTTATTCATTTATAAGACAACATATTAATACTTTTGAAAAATGGATGACTATACGTGTGCATGTATTAATCTGCGTTCCAGTACTATGAGAGTAAATCATAAATAAGCTATTTTCATTCATCCAAAACAGAATGTTGTCTACTGAATGTTTTTCTTTACTCACTATTTTAGATAGCATATCTCACTACAGCACATGAATAAAATTTCAGTTTTTAAAACATTAGTAAAGTTGCTGGGGGGTTGGGGGCAGGTAGAGAAAGCATGTCTCTTTACTGGAGTTCTTCCGTTGATTCCAACAAGATTACAGCCAGGCCCAGAGATGGGAGAAAATGCCTTGGGAGTAAGTGCCATCACGACGACAAAGGCTATTTGTCAGTATTTTAAAAGACTAGAAAATACCACCAGGTCACACTTCTCCCAAGCTATGGAATTCCTTAGAAAATTCCATAGAAACAGCTCTCAAAGGCCAAACACTTACCCACTGAGGACATGAATGCGTTCTGTATTATATTTCAGTGGTGTCAGTTCACAGCGTAGAACTTGAAGTGCCTCCAGGACCTTGCCATCCTCCAGGTATTCCAGGTACTTCTGCTGCAGCAGCAAAAACTTCATCCTCTGACATGACAGAAAGCAGCAGTCAGGGGAAAAAGGTTGACTGAAGTTTCAGAAAACGTTTGAGCCTAAACAGAACAGTAGAAACCATTCTACTATGCCCTTCAGAAATACAGCTATATGTAATGTTTCATTAATTTCTTCTCTGTTTTCAACGACATTGCAGCAATTAAATTATCCATGAATTTTCTTCCTGCCTTATGGGGCTCCAAATATCTTCTTCCTACCTCATTCCTCAGACACTCCCCCTTCAACTTCTCTCAATTTCATACTATACCCTTTTCAGCCACCATTCTTCAAACCTGAGTTGGATTAGTCTCCCCATCTCACATTCATTAAGCAAAAAGCCCAAAAGCAACTGATCGCATATTTACCACTGCATGACAGCACAGAACCCAACAGGCCAACTCATCAAGTTCTCATACTGCTTATGTAGGGGCTGACACTGGTTGTTTGCATAGCTGCATAACATATGGCAATAACAAACTGACATCGCCTGAGGTCTTGTTTTGTAGTTCCAAGTTATGTTGCTTTCCTCGGGCGTTTTTCCCTTTTCCAGGAGTACAGAAATAATATAGCTTTCTATATTTAGGGCTTGCTTCACCTTTCTTCATTTCTCAGAAACGGTCACTCCTACTTCATACCTTTCCTTTCATCTTGCAAGTCTTTTGGTTAAATCAAGCCCACTATTCTAACAACTAATGCCTGCGGGTAAAAAGGCGTTCACTTACTACATTTAAAATCCTGGAGTTCTAAGAATTTCTGACTGCAGCAATTTATTATAAAGATAGTTTGGTTGTTTCTAGATGAAACCAGCTATTCTGTGTTTGCACATCTTCATTACTGCTAGTGGGTATCAGAGGGAGAAGATATCCCTGGCCCACAAGACCAGCCAGGTTAAGAAGAAAAACGCACATTCTTGAACATATCAGTGAGAAACAAAATGAAAACTAAGCGGAGCAAATCAGATTTGCTTTTGTAATGCACACAACACCAGTTCAATCACCATTTTCCCTTGCTTCGTCACATCTCAGGCACCTCACTATTTTCATGGTCATATTCGGTCAACGTTTACTCATTAGTTTTGAGCACACTGCTAGCCCTCTTAAGTAAAGGCATAGCTGAGAGGTTTAATACAGTCCTGCCCTATTAAAGCTTACACAAAAGTTTTTCAAGGCTTACTATATGTAAAATCCCAGTTAGAAAATAAAGCATTTTTAACTTCCAGAGATGTTCACAGAATCACAGAATCATTTAGGTTGGAAGGGACCTCTAGAGATCATCTACTCCAACCTCCCTGTTCAAGCAGGGTCACCTAGAGCAGGTTGCCCAGGATCACATTCAGACAGGTTTTGAATATCTCCAGGGAAGGAGACTCCACCACCTCTCTGGGCAACCTGTTCCAATGCTCTGTCACCCTCACAGTGAAGAATTTTTTTCTCAGGTTCAGATGGAATTTTTTTCTCAGGTTCAGTTCTTCAAAAGAAGCCATATTTAATAGTTTTCATATGCAAAGCTATTAACTTACCATACAGCTTATTGAAGCATAAAAGATTACATACTAAACACAACTTATATTCAAACATTTCTGTAGTACTCAATTGTCCTGTACACGACAGGCAAGCTCGCACCGCATTCCCTATCCAGCTCTTCATATGTAGTTCCAATGGTTCCAAATACAAATAAACTGAAAACAGAGCAGCACTGTACAGTTTTTCAAGGTGAGATATCACGTTTTGGTGTTCCAGCACATAGGGAGCGAAAAGAAGAAATTCCAAAGGCTAATGTTGAATTACTTTTACCCAGCTATCTAAAGCCTCAGCAGTTGCTTCCATGCACTAAGCCAGCAGACCCCACACTTGGTTTACTTACATACAGGCAGCAGGAGGAATAAGAGCTTTCTCGCCTAGCTGTGCACGAGCTCAGGAGGAGGCATGCAGGTCCTCAGTTTGTAGTCACACACGACTTTTCACTCATTTTGGTCACGTGATTTTGATGATCATCAACGTCCAAAAATAGGCCAACATTTCTAGTCGTCAACAAGAACTATGCTTCCTCCAACTCTTCCTCCCCAGTCACAGCATGGAATATTTATTAAATTCACGTTGGCTTTCCCTCAGATGCGATAACCTCTGTATCTAATTACTCTTTCTCTGTCCCTACTTTTAGAACATGGCATGCTACAACAATTTCTTTAGGGGAAAGAAAGCAAAAAGAAAACTAAAACCCCATAGTACAGCTTTTGTACTGCCAACCCCAACAATCCCATGGAAACATTAAAAGAAAACACTACCACGCAATATGCTCTTGCCAAGTCATCCAAAGAGGAATAATTTCAGTTTTGAGTGCGAAAGCATATTTACCAAGAAAAGTCATCAAAACCATGCATGACTTTGGCATATTAGGAAGACAAAAGCCTCTAGAACAACATAGTACGAAACACTTTACACAAGATTTTTATTTTAGCACAATGGAGAATTAAAAGAAAAGATTAGTAGTTTGAAATTGTAACTCATCTATAACAAAAAAGCAGGGACTACACTAAGTAAAACGTTCATTGGGAGCTATTTTGATTAAACGCTCCAAAACTTGCCAGTACGCTCAGTTAAGAGCGGAAATACAGACTCCTTAAGGCAGAAGTAAGACTCCACTGACATTGCATGCCAAGTCATTTTTGATGTCAGGACATCCACTCCGTCCCACCACTCAGAAAACATTTTTGTGCAACCATTGCCTCTTATCTGAGGAACAGATTTCTCTGACAAACTGAATTTTGTCTTCATTTTCTCTCAACTGCTTTTACAGCCCATACCGACAATACTGCCAGTTACTTCCAATACCATCTTCCCAGGGTAGATGAGACCACTTAAAGAAGTGCATCTCTCCTAACCAAACAACTTCTTCAGGGAAGAAAAAAAAACTGTTAACAATATTGACAATTATAGACTAAATGCATAAAACCTGCCATCTAAGTAGGACAAAACAAGAAGAGTATAAAACTAAGCAGAGACACTGTACCCACAAATACAGCTTACTCCTTCTCCATATTCTCTAACTGCCTTCCAATGAAGAGAAATAAGAACTATTATAATCCAGTTTATACCATGTACAACATAAGTGCCTGGTATTTGTTATTATCTCAGTGTTCGCAATGGAGATTCAATATCATTACTCTCCATCGCTGAACAATCTTAAACCAAGGTACTTCGGTTGCTTAGCTCACAAGCCAAGATCCTTCAATCGACAGAACCAATGGAAGAGTCCCACATGCAGCAGCTTCATCATGACAGTCTGACCGTTTTCATTCAGTTACTACTGCCCAACCCCTTCTTTCAATGTTGGGGAAGATGAGGATAAAGCGTGCTACTCGTTTCCAAAAGCTATTAATCAAGTGTAAAGCTAGGCCTTTGTGATGACCCTGGGGCAAAAGTAAAAAAAGACTTAACATAATTACGGGATTTTTTTTCCCCTTTTAAAATGTAGGTGCTATTAGTACTTTGCTTTCTCCAAACTACAGCCTTAGACTACTAAAGCAGAGGTTTAGTACTTTTCTACCGACAACTAAGATGATAAAGGAGCACAGTCCCTTGCAGAATCATAAGTTCTGGACAATTTTGCTCACACCGTGATTCACCAGCGCTGAGTAGTTGAAACTGAAAGCCTCAACAATACTTACAACTGTGAAAATAATAGGGCACGTAGCCTACCACAGCCAAGAAAATGGGCCATTCTGATCACTGGTTACAGCAGCAAGTCTTCAGTAGTATAAAAACTAAGGTACACAGGATCTAATTTTAGGATTAGACTTGTTGTTGTTGAGATATGCAGGTCAAAAATAAGTTCCACAAAAGTTTTATTACTGTACTAAGAGCCAAGAATTAAAATAAATAAGCAAACACTGCTGAAGCAGCTCCTCTTTGAAATGAAAAAGGTAACAAAAAAAAAATGCTGCATTTATCAGCTGATGTTTCAAGACAGACACTCAACAAGGAATCTATCCATTCATAGACCTGCAGCACTAAAACCCAAATTTCCATTATTTCATTTGGTAATATTGTAAAACAACACTGATGGTAACAGAAAAAAAAATTATATTTAATATGTAAAGGCCAGAATATTTTCTTTCAGCAGAAATCAGCAAGGCTTCAATCACACCAGTAATTCATTCTAATACGGACACTACCTTTAATGCTAGTAACAAAAAGGTACACCAGACAGGCAGGTGGAGCACTCCACTCGTATGACAAGACTTAAGTCATTTCTCACATTGTGTTGCCTGCTGTGGGCTGTACAGCTCCAGTATTTGGGGAAAGTCACTTAAGTAAACAAAAATAAAAGAGAGGACAATTAGAAAGTGTATTCTAGCTAACTACAGAGGTATAACCCTCAGATTACTTCCCAGCTTCAACTAGTTACCCAAGATAGATGCCATAATATGCTTGGGTAGCCCTAAACAAAGCAAAATATTGGGCTGGCTCAGAGCTGGCATTTTGTAAGTGTTACCCAAGGAAAAATTATAGTTATCATGCTTGACCCAACTCTAAACTTTCCTTACAGCTTGCCTCAAGACAGCTGTACCTTAAGAACTAGATAAGTAAACATGACTTATCACACACGATACTGGTAATAAACAGGACCCAGTTGCATAGATACAAATGGAAAAAAGCAGACTGTCTTCTCCCCTCCACAATACATCCACCCGCAGCTTTGTAAAATTCATCAAAAGTTTACAGATTGAGCTCAGCTATTTCACCTTTACTGTTTTCATCTGTAGAACTTGTAGCACTTTGCAGAAATAAGGAAATTAAAACAGAGGTAGAAGTTTCAAAATACAGAGAAGCTAGAAGCTTCAAAAGCAGCTGTATATCGTATATCCTGGTTATTTTGACCAGGTCATTATAACAATTAAAAAAAAAAAAAAGCACCACACACACCCTACTTCATTAAATACTCTGTCATCTAAACTTTCAAAAACCCATTCTTCTTGTACACACACATTTTTCAGAAATCTAGTCATGCAGTATGAGTAACAGGTTAGAAGTCAAGAAATCCAAAATCTCCTTTTCCGTTTTTAAAGCATTACCTGCACCATCATCTTGTTTAGACTTTCCCTAATCAAGACATTTGTTATCTTCTCATGAGGTCTGACTGTGCTGCACTCTGGATTATCTACAGAGCATAAAGCATTCCTCCTTACCTGGAATGGTCTTTTACTAGTTTTCTAGTTGCTGATTATACTAATACCCACTCATAATCTCAATTATGTTCAAAGCAGCAAGGGCAGGGTGAAAAGAGCATGCACACAGGACAGCGAGCAAGCTCCATCTAACTTTGAAAATTAGTACTTCCTTACTAACAAATACATTTAAGACATTAAATAAGATTATCTGTTTTAACTGAGAGGCAGTTTTGATATAGGAGGACAGCTTTGAAAAAGAATCAGTAAATATTTAGTTCAGGCAAAACTCAGTCTAAAAAAAGCATTTGAATTGCACCAAGTTCTATTCAAGCAGTTAACACCAACGTTAAAGGAAAGGAACAAGCTTGCAGAGCCCTCCAGATTCACAAAAGGAAGACGTTCCTTTTTTCCAAATTAAGTTCTTCTGAAAAGTACAGTGTTGATATGTACTTAGATAAACCCTCCCAACTCCAGGGCACAAAGCCTTTGAATACTACAAAGAAACTGAATAACTTCAAGAGCTGGAAACATGAGAAAGTTCGCCTCAGATGACTACGTTCATACCCACACACAATGCTTATATGTCTTTGAGCTCCATAAAACATCGAAAGTTACATGGAATAGTCCAATCCATCTTGAGCAGCAAATTTTACACTTACCAAATCTTTGAGAAAGGAGAAACTGAAATACTAGCCTAACTAGGAAGTGTTAAGTTTTGAGCAGATTCACAGAAAAGGTGGTAAACTTCTCTCAAGTATTCTCTGATGTTTTGTTAAACATCTGTTTTTCCTACTTCACTTCCTGTTCTCTCTCTTTCTCTCCCTCCCCCACCAGACAGGAAATTGTCTTGACAACAAATGAATCAGCTAGAAGTAGAGCTAAGCAGCCATCAGCTGATTCTTCATTGTTTACAGTCACAGACACTTCAAAAAGCATTGCCACTTTTTTCTTCTTAAGTGACCGTAGTTGTTCTAACTTCATTTCGTTAAGCATTCAAATACAATAAAACAAGCGGTTTGAAGAAGAGAGCTAAGTAATTGTTTTGATCTTGAGACTGAATAAGCAAACCAAGAAACAGTGTTGTATGTCAGCACACTTTCCCCGAAATAACTGAATTCATAACAAAGCACATGCTAATTGTCAAGTCACAGGATCTACGAACCTCTACTTCTAGATTCCTATTTGAAAAAAAGCCAATTAGAGAGAAATCCCTAAACAAAAACCCAAACAGCAATAGTAATACATTTGCTCTCTAGAAGCCATCTGGGAAAGCAACAGCTCTGTTCATATTCTACAGCAGCCAGTATATTCTTATAGCATACTATTACACTGCCAACTCCACGTTAGTATTATTGTATTTTATTTCCAAACTTTTGTTCCTTCAAGAGACCCAAAGCCCAATAAACACATAAATCTTGCAGAAGTATTTTAAATTTGAAATTAGTATTCAAAATAGGCAGTTTCTACGGAAACTGACCTATTTTAGGACTGCTCAGGATTTACATTTCATCAGTTAAGAATATTTCAAGAAATGTATCATTCAGCGCACCAAATACCAATCTTAATAGTTTCGGGCTTCCTACCTCACGTTCTAAAAGAATAAAAAAACCTAAAATTAGTATGGCTTTTGAAATAGCAGGCAAATTGCTTAAAACAAACAAAGAAAACAATAACTACAAATGACTAACTCCAAAGTGCAAGATTACATTACTACAATTAGTCCAACTACAGAGCTCTGAAATAGTCGAAGTGTGCCTCTTACCACAATTGCATGCGGAGAATGCACTAAGGCCTTAAGTTCATTCAGGTCGTTCTCAGCCTGCAGAAATTGGCATAAGGGGAAGAAAAAAAAAGTATATAAGCAGGGTGGATGGTGAATTCTCTCACAGATACGATAAATTTAAACAGTGGCTAATACAGTCCTATAAGCCCTACGTTACCTTATCCCATTCTCCTTCCATGACATGATTGCGGAATTTGGTAGCAGAAGGATGTTCTAAACGACATCCTGACTCTTGCATGAGAAGATCAACAGTCTGGCTGCAGGAGAGATACAGTGTAAAAAAACCCGACCAGTTTTACCCTCACAAATATACCGCCTCCTACGATGGCGGTTTACCATACTTAAAAGTAACTTTAACAAAGTAAGAAGACTATGACCAGATTCAGGAACTCGTTCAAAAGATTATCTCAATTGCCTGAGACGTGTAAACAGCTGCCTGCGTCTAAAGCAAGTTGTCACTGAGTTTGAAAGCTTTGCTGAAGTACGTGACTTACCAGCCACTACAAAGAGGCACCCTTGGATAGGAGATAGGCTTCACGAAGGAAGATGCAGGCTAGAAACCTACTCGCTGCTGGAAGTGATCCCCCCACACCCCCTTCCCAAAGTAAAAGGGCATGAAGGGCTATTACTACCTGCTCATGAAACACATCTGCGACAGGCCTAACTTTTTTCCTTCTTCGTTGCGTGTTAAAGGACTGGCTCCTTAAAATACAATAAACGAACTCACAAACCTGTCGCCCTCCCCCCTTTTACACTAAAAATAGCCTATTTACTGTGGTGTTGTCTGTGAACAGTCACGAGTTGTCTGCTGCTGTAAACTCGCCTCTTGTGTCAGGGGCGACTTATTTTATGTCCCAAGTTCTTTATAAGCGACACCGTTTCCAAGGCTTCCTTGGCGGTCGCCACACGCAGACTTCAGAGGGCTTCTAAAGCCTCCTCCTAAAATTATGACACGTTAGCGTCAGCTTTGCTCACAAAGTGAATTTCTGAGTAACTCCTTACGCTGCCCCTTCTCCGTTGGGGGATTTTTTTTTCCTCCCCCCTCTCTCTCTTTCTCTCCTCCGGTGTGATTTTAAGAAAGGGCCAGCATACTTATATCCATCCTACAGATAAGATTATCATCAAAAACAGCCTAAACAGACCTTCACCATTTACAGGGAGGCAGGTTTGTTGGATTTTTTTTTTTTTTTAATAAATAAATAAGAAGACAGACTATGTTTGGTTTTTGTCAGGTTTTTCCGACCTGGGAAGGGAAATCTCGGAGCTCGTCCGCCAAGCAGCTCCCACCCCGAGCCGGGCCGGGCTCCGTG